TGGGTGCAGAGCTTAACTTGATGTATTTATATTGTTCCTCTTACCTGTTCCTCAGGGAATAGAGTTCCTCTCTGATTATTGATCTTCTTAAACAGGTCTCCTCCCTCACAGTAGTCCATTACTATGTACAAACAACCACTCTCTGAAAAAAGAGGAAAAAAAAACAACTTTAATGTTCAATGACAAAGTAGCAACAATGCTTCAGTTCACTGCCTATGTGGTTTCTTGACATTTAAACAAAGACCACCGTACAAAAGTCTGGGGTCAGTAAGATTTTTTTAAAGAAATGAATACTTGAATTCAGCAAGCACACATTCAATTGATCAAAAATGACAGTAAAGACATTCATAATGTCAAAATCACAAAACAAAATTAAGCAGCACTATTTTTAACAATGATAATAATAATAAATGGAACTTCAAAACAATGATAATAATAATAAATGGAAATTCCATAATAAATGGAATAAATGCAACTTCTTGGAATATGTTCTCAATACGGTCTAATGTTTGATATAAAATTTAACTCAATGAAGAGTGTGGTACTGATCGCCAGAACCAGGGAGGATATGAAATGTGTCTATCCTTCTTTCTTATTGGCTGGTGAACCCCTAGAGGTTGTAAAGAAAGTGAAATATCTGGGCCATGTGATAAGAGATGACCTCTGTGATGATGATGATGTGCAGCGTCAGTGTGGAAAACTGTATGGGCAGGCTAACATTCTGGCACGCAAATTCCACATGTGCACTCCTGATGTTAAAATCTCACTCTTCATAACCTATTGCACTTCACTGTATACAGCCCACCTGTGGTGTAATTTTAGTGAGTCAAAGATGAAAAAACTTAACGTGGCTTATAATGATGCGCTGAGGATTGTGCTTAAAATTCCTAGGGGGAGTAGTGCCAGTGAAATGTTTGTGGCTAACAATGTGCCCACTTTTAAGGCTGTTTTAAGAAAGTGTATGTATAGTTTCATGTGCAGACTGACAGGGTCTAAGAATATGATCATTGTGTCTATAACTGATGTTTCTAAGAGTGACACAAGGTATACATCTTGCTTTTGGAAACATTGGACTCGAAGCCTGTACGTGTTTTATAAATGATGCCTCTTCAATCATTTTTTTTTTTTACTGTTTTTAACTGTTTGTATTGCTATTTATTTATTTAAATATCTGTACTGTGTTGTCTCTATGGACCTTTGTGTCTGGAATAAAGTTGATTGATTGATTGAAATGTTTCTTGAGCAGCAAATCAGTATTTTAGAAGGATTTCTGAAGGATCATGTGACACTAAAGACTAGAGAAATGGCTGCTAAAAAATTCAGCTTACCATCACAGGTGTTTTTGATCAAAAAAGTAGAAGAAACATTCAAAAACATGAAATAATCTTCTGTACAGTACATCTGTACAGTAACTGATTTAATCAGATTTAGACTCTTAGATTTCACTGTAAATTTATAATGGAATTAAGCAAACATTTTGCCCTCTATTGGTAATATCATTAACGTTCATATACCACCCAAGGTTAATGTCATTAATTAGCCTGCCATCCGGATGTCAGAGATGCTGCATGACTTCATGAACCGAAACTATCATTAGCTAAACGACATCCTTTCTGTAATTTAATTCAAAAGCTTGGAGCTCCTCCAGATCACGCAAACCTCCCAATCTATCAATCAGACACAAACCTTTAGAACAGAAATGCAGAGGGTATAGTTTGTGCCGGAACTAATGTTCTCAGATTAATCAAAATCAGTCAACTAAAGACCAAATGCTCACTCGTAGACACCAGTTTGTCATGCCTGTCAACATAATAGCAAAGCTGTGCAGCAAAGCATCATATTCCAATATCACTTCATACGGATTTTGGAATAAGGATGCCCCATGAGAGGGGCTTTACCTTCAAAGGATTCCTTGTATTGGACGATGTTTGGATGGCTCATGTTAGCCAGAACTTCCACCTCTTTACGTGATTCTTGTCTTTCTTTGTTTGACATCTGATGAGAAAAAAAACACTGCATGTATAAATAAAGGAAAAGAGCCCATCAAATATCACATAGCATATAGAGTTTTAAAGGCGGGATATCATGAAAATCTGACTTTTTCCATGTTTAAGTGCTATAAAAATGGGGTCCTCGTGCATCTACTAACCTAAAAAAAGTGAAAAGTGACAACCCAGTAACTTTGTTTTGGTAAGCCTTTCTTTGCAAGCATGTCAAAAAATAGGCCAATCAGATTTCGCTCCCCTTCTGATGTAGGAAGGGGATCTTATCATAATATTACCGCCCCTTAATCTGTTCTAACGCAATGGCAAAAGTTCAAGCAAAGCATGCAAACTGTTCTGTCACTGCAGACGAGCACAGAACACTATTTGACAGAAAAATGTCACAGCTGTCTAATAAAATCCTCGGAGAACTTGTGTAAAAGTTAAACATGTCAATAAGATGAATCAATGTAACTCCACAACAACTGTATAAATGTATCCACTAACCATTCAGAAACATATAGGTGCGTCTAAAAGTTGTAACCTCTTCCTGAGTCTCTTTGTAAGGCTGCAATTCGCTACTGGTTATTTCTGAGCTTTTGGCTAAGTGAAATTATTCATGAGTAATTGTTATTGTATCCGAACGAAGCTTGTGTAAAGGATCGGCCCTCTTCTGAATGGGGGTGGGAAGCAGAAGCTCATTTGCATTTAAAGGGGCACACATCAAAAAGCGCAGCGTATTGACAAGCTATAATAAATAATCTGGGGGTATTTTGAGGTGAAATTTCACAGACACATTTGGGGACACCATAGATTAACATTACATCTTGTGAAAATGGGCATATTATGTCACCTATAATGATTGAAATACCCATTTTCATTGCCATGTGATGTCTAAGAGAGAAATGATCAACTCACCCTAGAGATGCCAATCTCCTTGATAACATATTGTCGGCCATCTGTCTTTGACTTGACCAGGATGGCTTTCCCAAAGGACCCCTCACCAATCTTCTTCAACCTCTCATATTTATCCATGTCTGTGGAAAAGACTTCTCATGCTGAGGCCGAGGGAACAAAACACATGAAAATTAAATTAGCAGAAAAACAGTACAAGGATTTTTAAAAATAATATTAATATGTAAAATGATATATATATCAAGTAAACCAAATATATTGTCTGATAGCACTAGAGCAATCAACTGACATTTTCCTCTAATATTTCTAGTGTGGCATTTTAAAAGACATATTTAGCTGTCATCCATTCACGGAGCCAGCAGGAATTAATAAACCAACTCAAGCAGAGCACCTCCTGATGAGTGAAAGGTTATTATCTTTTCCCACACAGAGACCAGCTGCATACTGGGAATCACTACAACCGCCACCTGGCCTAGATGAAGCAAAGGCAGACATGCATGGTAGACAAACTAGTGGGACAAAAATAAAACATAACAGTAATGCAGCCTTTGACAAATGCTAAAACTAAGCCAGTCTAAAAGCCAGACAGTGTATGTGGACTTATGAATTAAATATGACATGTCAGGAGGAATTACCCACCACCCTTTAAAGGGGTTCAGTTAAGAGAAGATTGTACAAAGGCACAGGATAAAAGAAATAATCAGGCTGACAGATAGAGAGAGAAATAAATTAGATTAACAACCAGATAAGATAAGATAAAACCTCTACTGTCTGTCACAAGTGACAGAAATTTGTCTTTGACAAGACTGGCTCAGAAAACATAAAAAAACACATACAAAAACATGGATACACGCAAGACAATTTAGCCACATTAGCTGTAACGTTACAGACATGTGCAAAATACAAAAATGTGATGTGTTCCATCTGGTTGTTCAGTGTATAGTAATGGCCGTGGGAATGCAAAATGGTTTGAAAGCTTTGAAAGATGAAAGCTTTGTCGTTCAATAATAATGAAGCAAAGCTGGCAAAACATAGAAACTTACAAGCTGCAAGTTAACCTTACATTTAAATAACAGACCGGGACAAAAACACTGCTTGAGACTTGGACTGACTTACACAGTTTACCATTTGCAATACCATTAGACCTATGCAGTCAAGATTTGGCAGCTGTGTGTTATGTGAATAGAAGCATCATCGCATAAAAACATTACATTGCAAAGTTTCAACAACATCAGCTGTCTCATTTAGCGGGGCCTTGAACTGGTCGCTGTCCAAACTTATGATAATAAAGCGTGCTAATAAATAGTCTCTGGTGCTAATGAAAACTGTAAAGAGAAATTAGCAGTCTCATTGAAATTCCGCCTAATGACACTGACAGTCACTTTAAAGTAGAGCGCAGCGATAAGTTATGTTCAAGATAAAAGACAGAATTTGCCTAAACGAATCAGTTCTTACCTTGTATATTTAGAATAATGAGCGAGTAGTGGCAGCATCGGTGCAGCTCACTTGAAGATTTTCTAATGTGGGCGGTCTCATGTGTGCAGACGGCACACGCCGACTGAGAGAGATTTTTTTGATTGGTGCGCTCTTACGTCGAGTGTCAGATGATAGGGTGAAAAACATGTCGATCAATAATCATGGCCGTTAGGTTTGTCTGTCAATGTTTGGCGCAAAATCCCCCCTTAGCAACCGTCACCGGTTGGTACACGGTCATGGAGCCACTACAAGGGGCAGTCTTTGCATGATTCTTTGGCCACCATCCGCTTTACAGACATGAAAATGAACAGACAAAAGTCTCCTCATTATTTTTTTATTATTTATATTTGTTTACAATGTGCATTATTATTATTATTATTATTATTATTATTATATTTCGCAGATATGGTTATTTTTATTCTATATATTGCCATAATGAATTACTTTATTAATTGTCTTTATTATTGTGTTGTCCACACCTATGTTTTAATATTCTTGTAAAAAGCGAAAATAATCTCGAAGTTTTTTTCCCCACTTCAAACGATTTCTTTACCATTTCTTTATTTTCTTTCTGAACCATACTGCTGCCAGTAGTGCGTTTGGCTCCACCTATAGGCTGACATCGCGCAGTGCAGTCAATATGGCGGCACCCATTCCTTCCCTAAGTTTCACATTTAGCGACACAATTTGACCTGAATTACGAGTGTAATATTGTATCATCTTATCGATATTTAACGTGAGTTCGATTTCTTGTCATCTAAATATAATTGTGCAACGATTTGTTCAACCATTTAACTATGTCGCCGTGCATACTGGATTAAACAAATGCTGGTTTCATTAGTTTTCAATCTCAAATAAACCGAGAAATGTCGTATTAGCGCTTATACCTTATTTTGCTCATTATCAGTGGCAATACTAACTCTTGCTGCTTTACACCTACACCTTGCTGTATCAATAACTTTTATGACAGACACCTTTACGTTTATCCTTCAAAGAGACCTATAAGAGAACCACTTATAGAGCACCAACTACTCCACTGTTTATTACATTAAAAGCACTAACATTTACATTAACAACAAAACTGCACAAATTATGTATAAAATAAATAATCAGCTATCAAACAGTTTTCAAGGGTTGTTCCAGATTAGAGAGAGCAAACATCACTTAAGAAGAACATTTGTTTTTAAAAAGAAATTTATATGAACAAATTCTAAATATCTGCATCACAACCAGAGGAGTGAATGTATGGAACATAGGTATGGAACAGCTGCAGTGAAGAGATGAAATCATGTTCAACAATGAGAAAATTTAAAGGACTACTTAAAGATATTACGAAGAGGACTCGAGGTGATAGTATTGTATACAGGTTCCTTGGTCCACATATTTAGTTTAGTATGGAGGTGTTATTGATTTGCTATAGATAGATGGAATTGATTGAGAAGCATCAATTTTCGTTGTATTTAATTAAAAGATAAAGATAGAGATGGGGGTAGAACTTGAAAAGTTTGTTATTAACTTCTTCCTTAATATGGTGCTCAATGGCTATCATATTCATTTCATACACCATGTATTTACAGATATTTTCGAGTTGCTTGACATTGATTGGCATGTCAAAGAAATGTTACTTTAAGTTAAAATAACATTTAATGGACATGCCAATCAATCAATGTCAAGCAAAAATACATAGTTTATTTATAACCGTTTCACTAAGACACAGTCACTATTTTCAGTTGTATTTTCACCTTTACTTGTTCAATATCTGATTGGTGGCTTTTTTCTGTAGGGTGGTGATGTCCAGACTGGCTGTAGTGTTTGGTGGTTCTCGTGGCATTGGGCGAGCAGTTTCTCGGCTGCTGGCACAGAGGGGTCATAGGGTTGTTCTGCTGTCCAGGAGCAAGGAGGCTGCACAGGCTACTGCTGAATCTCTGCCCGGAGGCGAGTCAGTGAATACAATAATCATTTTGAATTACTTGCAGTGGTTCATTGATGAAAATGATATCACTTCAGTTTAGCAGTTTAGACATCATACACCTTCAGGCGTTTTTTTTTTTAACTTAAATGCAAGTGATGTGTAATAGTATTCGTTAAAGGGAACAATCAAAACAATGCATGGAATTAAAAATACAACAACAACAAAAAAAAAACTCATAAGAAAATTTCAAACTCAGTGGAAGGACCTTTAATCTTAAATGGCATTATAATAGATGTTATAATTCTGGAGTATATTTTTAATTTCAGGAAATCATTTGGGTCTTAGCTGTGATGTTTCTAAAGAAGAAGATGTTCAGAGAGCATTTGAGACCATCAGTAAGAACTGTGGCACTGTGGGATACCTGGTTAACGCGGCTGGCATCAACAGGTCAGAGATGCCACAAAGCAATGATGCAGAAAATTAATTGTGTTTTGAAAAAAATTCCATGGCCAAAAATAAACAATTATATTAGAAATAGCAGATTTTTATATAAATATATAAAAGACTGCTGCGTTCTAATATATTATTTCATGTGTCTTTATTTTAAAGAGATGCATTGTTACTGAGGAGTAAATCTGAAGACATGCTGTCTGTTCTGCAGACCAACCTACTGGGCTCAATGCTCACGTGCAGAGGTGCTTTACGCAGCATGCTCAGCCACGGAGGAGCTATTGTCAACATTGGTGAGCCATATTTATCCATGTCCCACTACCTTATGATCTTATTATTATTATTATAGTAGCCTAGTTCAGTTCTGAAATGTTATGAACATTAAGCTGGAGAAAACGAGAAAAAATTCACTCTGCATAGCAGCTGGACAATTTGGGTTAATTTAATTACCACTAGATGGCGTAAAAACTCCAGATTTGAAATAGTATTGCTAGTTCTGCATCGTTATAAAGTTCTTGCACTTGTCAAATTCTGACAGTAAATGTCAATTTTCTCTTGATGTCATGTTATATGTTAAATTAGAATTTCTGATGGGTGTAATCACAATAAATACATTTTTACATGACAAAGTAAGAGAGACTATGGCATCAATGAGACTATGTTCAGTATAAACCTCCTGTGTATTTTTTAAAAAAAATGGAAGTTCTCCCAATAATATGTCTGCTATTCAAAGCTTTGTCGTTTTAATTGTGGGGGAAAAACATAAAATGCAGTGCAATACAATGCTTGACAGATGTCCAAGTAAATGTTAACATCTCAAAAGCCTGATAACCTAAAGTTATAATGTGAGTCTCAAATATGATACGTGATGAAGTATGGATGAAGTAAACATAAGTTGCTTTAGTCTAGTAAGTGTTAATCTTTAAATAGTACTAACAATATCAAATTTACTCTTATATGACCTTGGACCACAAAACACATGGGTCAATTTTTTTTATTTTGAGATTTATACATCACCTGAAAGCTGAATAAATAAGCTTTCCATTGACGTATGGTTTGTTAGGACAGGACAATATTTGACCAAGATACAACTATTTGACAATCTGAAATCTGAGGGTGCAAAAAAAAAAATCAAAACATTGAGAAAATCGCCTTTAAAGTCGTCCATTTATGTTTGCGATTCTGCTGCGTTCACTCACAAAAATAAATATTTTATATATTTACAGTAGGAAATTTACAAAATATTGGAACATAGTCTTTACTTTTTTGTCATAAAAGAAAAATGAATTGATCATTTTGACCCATACAATTTATTTTTGGCTATTGCCACAAATATGCCGTGCGACATGTGATCCAGGGTCACATATTAAAAAAAAACCCCGTCAGATTTCACAACAAAAAGATACACATGTATCATGACCTATAAGGGGAAGTTTTTAGAATTATACTAAAAGACCTTTTACTTGTTAAAAAAAAAAAAGGTAGTCACTATCAATCAGTTGGCAGAAGACGATAAGAAATGTGCTTACCAATTATGATACAGTAGGCTTTATAGGGTTAATGATGTGTTTCCTCAGGCTCTGTGGTGGGTGTGAAGGGTAACTCCGGCCAGTGTGTTTACAGTGCCAGTAAAGCTGGATTGGAGGGATTCACTCGCTCTCTGGCAAAGGAAGTTGCTACCCGGAATATACGAGTGAACTTGGTGGCTCCAGGTTGTTTGTCCTCTCTTTTTCTTACTTCTACTACTACTTTTGCCTATCAACCTACATACTAGCTGTCATATGAGTGCAGCTGAGAATTCTTCTCTCTCTCTCCCTTTCAGGATTCATTCTGACGGACATGACGGCAGCACTGGAGAAGGAAGAAGTAGCAAAGAGAATTCCACTGGGACGTTTTGGGGAACCTGAAGAGGCGGCCCAGGCTGTCCTTTTCCTCCTGGAGTCCCCTTACATCACAGGACAGGTTCTGCTCGTGGACGGAGGACTACGACTGGCATTGTGATGAAAACATGTGATCTGACTGAGTCACTGAAGTGTTAAAGTGGATTCTTTTGTTTTGCTGATAAAGCACAAATCTGTATTTACACATTGAATCAAAGCTTATTGTTCACCTCCCCATCTCTACATGGAAATCTGAATCACACAAAACCGTGTAAGAGTAGTTGTTTCGGCCCATCTGGATTGGATTAATGTTATTTTTAGCACACTGGAGTTTTGGTTGCATGTTCCATTCTTGGGATGATAGAGGTCACAGGTCAACATTTGGGGGATATGACTAGCTTTTTGATGTCAGTTATTTTCAGGATCCAAATAAGCTAGGCTACATTACACTTACAAATGAGCCAAACCCCTAACCCCTTTAAACGATTGTTTAGAAAAAATAAAAATAAAATGTGACATCGGGCCTTCTCGCCACATTAAAGTGCAGATCATCAAAAAGCTCATTCAGCTTTATTGAGAGATGTTTTTGCCAAGAGCAATTGGACTCAACCCAGACTCAATACTTTCAGAGACATTTATTTAATGTACTATTCATAAACCAGAAGAGAAGAAGGAGAACAGTCCGTATACAGGCACAGGTTGGCTTGGAAATCAGAAAATATTGCAAAAAAAAAAAAAAGCCTCATAAAATCTGACTAATTTGAAGGATAAACAGCTGTGTCAGAAAGAGCATATTCAATCATAGGCTTACATGTATACATTCTGCTATATTTTGTGTATATACTGTACGTTGCAAGTGTGTGAGAGATGATGGCTAAACTTGAACTCCTATTTTGAGTATTTGATATTCAACTGCAAGTTTTGAGAGAACGCTACTATCATTTTAAATGTGTATTAAATTTTGCTTTCAGTGTTATTTTGTTATATAGATGCTTTCAGTGTTGTTGTTTTTCTTGAAAAAGCTATAAATGAACAAATCCGTGCTGCCAGTATCACATTTTGTGTTATGTTTCTGTAATTCCAAACCTGAAAACTGAAGCCTACCTGTCAAAGAGTTACCATCTGCTCATTCCGTGCACCACCATCATCATTAAAATCAATATTCGTATAAATCTCTTCATCCACCATCAGCCAATCCTTCCCAAACATGTGCCGATTCCACTTCCTATACTTTCACCATAAGCAATCCTCCTCCCTCTCACTTCCACAGAAACACAACAAACATCTGTCCAAATCTGTCAGTCAGCCAAAACTTCATCACTCAAATCTCATCACTCATGTTAATGACGCAACTGTCTCTGCTTTTAACCTCTAGTAAAAATGAACAAAAAGACGAGGTGGGGAAAAGGTCATTAAGGCCCGGCCTTGTGAGACATCTCTGGATTGTAGATCCAGACGCAGAGTGTCCATCTGATCAATCTCAAGGATACTGAAGCTCCAGGGACGATGCGGTCCATGGAGTTTCAGATGTGTCCATCTTCCTGTTCCCTACTTCCAGATAACCCCCCCCAAACCACCCAAAAAAAAAGTCCTATTTCCTGTGCTGGAGAGGAAGACATTTCCTCCATTTCATAAATATATCTAATCTAAGGTATAACTAAATACATAAAAAGTGTTACATGTTGGCACTGTAGTAACATGCACAGCTAGATGCTAGTTATTTGAATAAATGTTTTTTATTTATTTCTTTAAAGTTAATTTAAAATTAAATATTTCATAGGCACTTGTGAAAATCTAGAGATGAAAAACAAGGCGATCATCGGTATACTACCTCCTTCCTCCAAGCCGTGCTGGTGTGTGTGTGTGTATGTGTATGTTAAGTGCGCCAGCGAACCATTAAGTCTGTTTATGACCTCTTTTAAGCACCCACATCACTTCCCCTCAGGAAACAACTGAAATAAAGCATAGTGAATGGTCAAGTCCTCCTCGGGCAGAGAAGTGATAATACCAAGAATCAAACTCTGAGGAAATTCTGAGCGAAGCCATTCAAAGTCGTTCCATCACTTTTTCAGATGACCCCCTTAAGAGAAAGAGGTTCTTGTTGGGAAATGGGTGGGGATTATGGAGTATGCTGGATCAAGCTTCGAAGGTCAGATCCTCCATGCTAGGCTCTACAGGTCGTCGCTCTCCACTAGGGCGCCGGGAGGAAGAGGATTGGAGTCTGGGAAGAAGGCTGCCTTCACATCCAGACCCCGTTCTGTCAGAGCGGCGTAGCGGCTCGTCGATGGGCGCACTTTCTTGGGCTTTGGGGTGTGGGTTTGTTGCCACTGGGCTGAAGGAAAGGACGAGGATGAACATGATTTCTCAGTTAGAAGAAATAACAGGATATAAAATTGATGTCTACGTACTGTTATCAATGTAGTTTCTCAGTTACTAAAAACATATGGAGACTTTCCCATATGTTTCATTTAGGGTTAGCATGGTATAATGGTACAAAAAAAGTCACATTATGTAGTATAGAAATAGTTGATTTGAAAGGAGTTCAAATAATGTAGTTATTCATATTCATGTGTATATGCTGGACCAAAGTAATGTAGTAATTTTCTTTCTCGATTGCAATATATATGAAGTTTATTGTCTGAAATATTTGGAGAATAATGCTGAACACAGCATCTGACACAGTTTGACTGAAATTTGGGCATTTGATTTTATTTATTTATGTTCCTATCGACTGTCAATATGTATGATACAGTGGTATGAATAAGTTTTGGCACCCATGCTAAAGTTGCATAAAAAGAGGAATAAAAAAATCATCTTTTGGATATTGATCTTAATGCCTTAATTAGAAAAATGAGGAAAACTCCAACCTTTAAGGACACAAATTTTCTTTGTGAATGAATAATGTATCATAAATAAATAAATGTTTTAAAATACAGGGTGCATAAGTCAGGGACTTTAAGACAGGCCAAGGGAACTTTATCAGGATGCATATTATCCTGGATCCATGAAATAACTGGCTTTTAAAAATAAAAATCTGCCTGACTCTATGGGAATTTAACATAGGGGTGCCCTGACTTATGCACCCTGTATTTTAAGGAAAAACATTTATTTATTCATGATACATTATTCATTCACAAAGAAAATTGGTGTCCTTAAAGGTTGGAGTTTTCCTCATTTTTCTAATTAAGGCATTAAGATCAATATCCAAAAGATGATTTTTTATTCCTCTTTTTAGGCAACTTTAGCATGGGTGCCAAAACTTATTCATACCACTGTATATCAAATATCATTATCATATAGTTTACTGGCCGATATTGGAGTTTTTTGTTTTCACTTGTAGCATTTAAAATCAATAACTTTAGCTTTTAGTATTTATCTTTTAATATATTAATACAAAATATTATTGACATTTTAAAATATACTTTATTATTTATTGATTAACGGCTATAAAATAAGATAAAATAATAAATAAAGACTTATTGGTATCAGCCAGAGTTGTAGTCCAGCATTTTTTCTCTTTGTCGCGATCTCTGTTCGAAATCTGTAATTGCAGTCATTCGCAGAATTATCAAGTTTATGCGAGTAGTACTTCAACACCCTCGACACAGGACAGCGTGGATGAACACAATGTTTGAGGAGAGCGTGCGGCTGTCAATCACCGCGTCGGTCTGGATACTGGCATTCAGAATCACAGATTATTATTTTTGGAAGTATGACCAACATAAGAATTTTTCACCATAAAATGTCATCTGAACTAGTAAGAAACATCCATTTGTTTTGGCTCTGGCATTGCAGAAAATTGCACTGATTAAATCTAAAAATCGCTTATAAGTTATTATATCACACAAAACCGTGCAAAACCATTCTCAAATTGTTAATGTTAACAACGTCAGCATTGCGTGACTACATGTAATGTACTTCCGATATATATCCTTGTTTTCGCATGGGTCCGGTTACAGTATCTTTTTTCTGTGGCCAATCCAAAGTCCAAACGAAGTCTTTTACATTTTATTTAATATTAGGGTATTAGAGCTGGTATTGTATCAAAGCATAAATGAGTGTTGAGTCACAATTCCCAATTTCAATTCATTCCAGTCTGGATACATTTCAATTTTAATCATGGTATGATGGAGATTATAACATTAATTCAGTGTTAAATCACACCCCTTCTGTGATTCGAACCACTTTCATAAGACTCTGCCAGCCCATTGTTAGTTTAACCTTAGCTAATGCATCCGTATTGTTAAACCTGTTGTTGATGGCAAACACACAGCACCGGCTGATGGGATTGCTATGGGAACACTGGGCGGACTCGGAGGAAGGGAGTGTGCTTTTATTGGACAGATTTAATACGGTTTCTCCCTTAGTCTGAAGCAATTTATGCAAGAACATTGATCAGATCAACCGCTTAAAACTTCTTAGTCAGTATTTAGTGTATTTTGGTCCTTTACCAGTAATAACAGCATTGTTACATGATTGAATTCATGAGATCCGTTTCAACTGTGTGTTTAAACGAACCATGAACATCGAGACGTGCTGTACTGGAGATGATGCCAGCTTCATTCTTGGCTGAAACCGTGTACCAGCCCGCGTCTTCTTTCAGAGCTGGCTGGATGATCATACAGAGGTAACCAAAGTTGTCCTGGTGTATGCTGAGAAATGGAATTGAACATCAGAATGAGCAACATTGTTTGCCTTCAATTCATGCCAGGATTGTTTGTTTATGCTGCATGAACATATTAATTTGATTTGAATCCTGATGAGTAAACTGCATCCACAAACAATGTGACTGGAGACTTTACAGCTTGTGACTAACTGTTCTGGTCCCGCTGAGGTGGTGTAGACGCTAGCGTCTGTGGTTGGGTTACTGTGTGTATGTTTCTTTTACAAGGCCCTTTTCATCTGGTGTGTGTGTGTGCATAAAAGTCATTTTAAAATATATCTATGAGGACAATAGTATTCAACAGGTGATCTCATTACATTTTGGTATGGTTTATGCGAGTATGGCACAACGCTGATGAATAAAATTACATGGGTTCTTATGTGTTCTCATTTATATTACACTGCAGTTTGATTGGTAGAACGACTACAGGAGAGCTGTGATTGGCGGAGATCTCCTACCTTATCCTGTCTGTGTTGTGAGTGAAGGACTCGTTCTCTTTCTTCCAGAAGATCTGTGGGAATGGGACTCCAGACACACGACACTCAAGACGCACAGGGTGACCCTCAGCGACACTTGTGTTCTGGAGTTTCTCAATGAAACTTGGGGCTTTATGCATCTCTTTGGCTAAATAAGAAAGAGAGAAAAGTTATAAGAAAAAAACTAAAACAAGTATTCATGTAACGTATTAATGACATTTGTCATATTGTCATAAAATGAAAAAAAAAATTACAAAAATATAATGCTTTTACATATTATTAAAAATAATACGTTCTTAACTGCATTGTATATACATTTTGTAGATTGGGTCTTTTATTTTTTTTTAAAGGAATACATAGGTTTATTCAGCAATGATGCATTACAATTACATTGACCACAAGTGACAGTAAAGACATTTAAAATGTTACAAAAGATTTATATTTCAAATAAATGCTTTTCTTTCATATTAAATCAAAGAATCCCAGTAGCACCTCAATGCAGTACGAGATCCACAGGGAGGAGTCGGATGAAGATCCAAGGGGTGGAGATGGGTAGGATTAGGGTTGGGTTTAGTGATCAGGGGGCAGATTTGGATAGGTTTAGGTGTATGTAAGGTGGTAAGAGTTGGATCTGGATCTGACTCGTCCCAGTGGATTTCATGTTCTGCAGTGAGAACCATCTCAAGAATCCTGGAAAAAATGTATCACTGTTTCAACAAAATATGAGTGTCTTTTATCTCTAGTTGAACAAGACCTTGGTTATGTACCTGCAACAATAAGCTCTAGGTTGAATGAGTTCTGTCCAGCCCTGTTGCTGGCGATGCATGTGTAAACTCCTGCATCTCTGCTAGTGACAGGCTCGATGACCAATGAGTGAACGCCGTTCTCCCTCACCAGCATCTTGTGGGAGGAGTCTGGACGGATGGTCTGGCCATTCAGCTGCCAGATGAGGTCAGGAGTTGGCAGACCACTTACCTATGTTTTGGGAAAAATCAAATGTTTTCAGTATAATTTATTCTCTCACAAATTATCTGTGCTATAAATGTCAGTTACAGTGCAATCGTCCTTAAAGTATTTTCAAACCTAAAGCTGTATGTGTTTGTCCCTGTGCGCCTATACTGTGGCGTCTGTATGTGTGTGGTTCTCATGGGAAATGAGTCTGAGCACAATGCCTGAGATCTGTTTTCAACAACTCAAATTCCTGAGAAACACAACACCTGCCTCACCAGATATTGTGCCAGCGTCAGACCACCATTGAATGTCCCAGTGTGTTTATGTTTTTACGTATCTGAGAGGGGTGGACGGAGATGCTCGTTTATCCATCTTCCTTTATTGTGATGTTCCTGAGAACACACTGCTCAAGTGCCGTTCCCCTGGGTGTGCATATTCCCTGCGTGATGCTTACAATGTCCATCATGCATCTCACTACAGCCAACTTGAGTGTGTTTATGACTTTTATTGAAAGAACAGGCTGTGCAAGCGAAAAAGCAGAAAACTTTGATTTTAGACCTCCTGAACTCCATCTAGGGACATTTGTGGCCTGGAAAGTTTAGAAAGTCTCAAAGCCGGAGTAAAAAAAAAAAGAAGAAGAAAAATCAGCTCTATAAATATCATTGACATTAAGGACTTTGTGCATGAGTGCATTACTGCTGATGTCTTTTTATAGCGTGTGAATCCCTCCATGGCACAGTGAGCCTTTATTCTGAGTATGTAGTTCGCACCCAGACATGGGCAGCAGTACAGAAGAAGAATGTAATACTACAGTTAGACAACATGAGAGAAAGAAATAGACCAGATAAGAGATAGAGGTGGGGGAGGAGAACCCAAAAGGCCTTTACCCACACAGCCTGAAACAACTTGTGTTCTTTAATAAATGGTCACTGAAAGGATGCACTTTGCCTAAAGAAATTGTCAAACTGAACGAAATGGATGTTACATTGTGTATTCATTTTGTATGAGAATTGAAGTTTTCCTTTTAGAAAAAAAGTTGGTAACACTATGTTGGTTGGGCATGAGCAAGGCGGCAAATGAGGAGAAACAAAGACATTTTGGACAGACAAAACAGCTGCAGAGACAGAGGGAGGAAAGGAAGGAAGGATAGAGAGGACAGTCTTCAGAGACAGCGGTAAGCCAATGGAAACACATCTGAGAGAAAGCAGAAAACTCAATAATAGAAGAAAGAGAGAGAAAACTGAGGATAATTCCAGTCTTTTACTCGTCATTTTATTCGTCATTTTAGAAGTAATGAAATATCAACTGTAAGCTTTTTTTCTCTTTCTTCAGAATGCAGAGGGAGGAAACTTTTCCCAGATAATCACACACAGAATGTTTCCTCCAGCCTCTGAAATGTTTATTTATTTGTGAAGTAACCATGTAATAAGGGTTATGGTCACTATGGAGTTAAAGTGAGTGTGGCCGTGTTTGTGACGTCACCTTGCAGTCCATGCGGCAGAGTTTACCCTCTTGCACAATAAGGTCACCGGGGGCCTGAAGAAAATGAGGGCGGAAGTGACGTTCCTGAATGTTCTCGTTCTCATCACCACTGTCCCTGGACCTTGAGCGTGGTCTGGGAGAATGAAGGAAAAAAAAGAGATTACATCAGTTGCTGCCTTTTTACTGATTCTAATTTTTTTTTTTACATAACTGCATCATGTAAATATCAAGGTGAACAATTTTAAAAAATGAACTACATCAGATTAGATAAAAAGGGTGTCATATTAATGTTTTGTACTACAATACATTTAATATCAATTCAACAGACTGCCAAATTAAGACACTTCTATTGGACTTATAATTTAGTTAGCACTAGGCAGGGTCAAGGTGAGAATGGCCAAAATGACCATTTTAAGAGTCCAAAAATCATGGAAAAACAACTTTGCCTGTAATGCATTAAAGGAAAAAGGAAAAGTAACAGGACACCAAAGTGCACTATATTTTTTTCATGGAGAGCAGCTCTGATTAATTCATGTGTAAGGAATCAGATTCATTTCTACTTTTATAAATGAATGATGGGGTGGCACTTCGCATTGCCTTTGGAGACAATTGACTGTCAATCAAAATATAAAGCCCTCAAAGGCCTGAATGGTCAGATATATTCAGAGGAAACCCCACCCTTAGAAAAAGATTCACATCTTCTATTCTGCACAAAAGACTTCTTAACTTGTCCTTGCATCATTGTCCAAAATACACAGGTGTTCTTTACATGGGGCACGCCCTCTATTACTGCTAGTCCGATAAAGCAAACCTGATCCTGAACCTGCTGTAATCCACTGGCTGTGTATGAAAAGATCCACTAGAAACAGCATTAATTGTATACCTGCGGATGTGTCCAGGTGTGGAGCGCTGACTTCTCCCCCTTTGGTTCACAGCCTGAACCATCATCCTTCCAGTACAGCTCACTCTCCCCTAGGAGAGAAAAACAGAATATACAGAGATAGATAAGTAAAGAATCCCATTGTACCTGTTAAACTTTTCTTATGGTGAATATCTGGAATACAGGTATACCCTTCCTACATTATGGGGGCAAAATGTCACCACAAAGATGGCAATATTCAAAATCCTTCTGGGAATATTTTATTTTTATATATATATATATAAATATATAAGCTGTTTTATAAAACAAAACTAAGTGATGTTTTTTGAAAATGTAAAAATGTTGAAAGTTTTTTTTGTGATGGGTAGTTTTATATTGTTTTATATTGTGTACAATATAAAAATCACTATGTCTATGGAATATCTCCATAAAACATGAAAACCCAACATGTGTATGTGTGCATGTTTGTGCGCGTGTGAACTCTTGACCCTTCCAAAGGCTGTATGAATTATCTTTCTTCTGGTCAGTCACTTCCCCCTGACTACCGATGTTTATCCGTCTCCACCAAAACACTGGTCAAGCTGACTAGCCACTTGAGTGGGTGGGTGGGTGTATGAGAGAGCCATCAAATGATATCAAACTCAGCTACATATATTTTCAGTAGCAAAACTAACATTAAAAAATATTGCAAAAATATTGCCCTTTTCAAATTAGGGGGGATGACTAGTCTCCAATTTTCTAAGAAATGCATGCTTTTTTGTTGCATGAGTAAAAACACCTCAGTTTGAATCAGTTAGAATTAAGAGTGTTAAGTTAACTTTGCACACTGCGCATACTTTTAAAATGAAAGAAGAACAATCTTTTCAACAATATTTCCCTATGCCAATATAATCCTGTCTTGTGTATTATATAAAGAGTGTATAACTCACCGCTGGGTTTCCTGCCATGATGGTGTAGTTCCCATCATCATCTAGTGAGGCAGCAGCTGTGTGCAGGGAGCACGTGCCGTCCGGATCACGACTGATACGGTAGTGTTCACTGCGCTTGGAAATCTGCTTTCCGTCCTTAAACCAGTACACCTACAAACACACACATACATATATAAACATGATTATGCAACAATCCAAAGCTTGTACTGTTGTCCCTTTCTTTTTCTCTTCATCATCTCCCTTGTTACTAAGTCTGCTGTCATCACATAGTCATTACAGTGGTCTCGTGTTAGTAAGGAGACACACAGTGATCGCGAGACAGCCATATATGGCAGGAATCTCAGAAGTGAAGCAGAGCTTCTGATGAAACCAGCCTAGTCACAGATGATAAACTCCACCACCAATCCTAGCTTTCTAGACTCCTCTCCTACAAACCCTTAACACAACATACAGTACATGCCACTTTGCAAAGCACCACTAACTAAAATAAGCAACCTCCATTCTGTATGTTGTCCATACCTCCACATATTACACTAGTGTGTAAAAAAAACGACTTTTTTTCTGTATGATTTTTTTTAAAATGTTTTTGAAAGTCGTCTCTTATGGTCACCAAGGCTGCATTTATATGATCAAAAATACAGTAAAAACAGCAGTATTGTGAAATATCATTAAAATTTAAAATAACTATTTTTGGTTTGTTTCTGTAATGACAAAGGCGATTTCAGCATCATTACTCCAGTCTTCAATGTCCCATGAACCTTCAATAATCGCTCTAATATGCTGATTTAGTGCTCAAGAAACATCCCTTAAGCCGTACAATTGTTTAAAACATTGATAATATTTTTGTAGAAAAACCATGATACTTTTTAAAGGATTTATAGATGAATAAAGTTCAAAAGTGTATTATTTATTTGAAATAGAAATCTTTTTAACATTATAAACGTCTTTACTGTCACTTTTGATCAATTTAATGTGTCCTTGTTGAATAAAATAACCCTTATTGACTGCAAACTGCAATATACTTTTTCCCCACATTTTTACTGCAATGTTATATTAGAAGTCGAATTAAAACTATGCTAAAATATTGCGATAAACTAGATTATAATCTACAATGAAATACACTTGAAATACTGAGAAAGTCACTCGATAAGAATCTACTACAAGCAATATGAAATGTAAATATGCATGTGATGACATCTCACCTTTGGCATTGGGTCTCCGATGACCTTGCAGCTGAAGGTCACAGGCATGCCCTCGAAGACCTTGTAGTGCTTGAGCTTCTGATCGAAGATCGGTGCAACCTCTCCAGGCGCTGCTTCATCATGCTGAACATCATCGTCAGATTCCTCGACAGGCGAGCGCTCCAGACGGAACTCAATCTCGCTGATCAACCGCTGCTCGAAGCTGGACACTTTATACTCCTGTGACACATACAAACACAGACTTTAATTTATGATCTTCTCCTCAAGTTACCAACTCATTCAATCACCCATTTTACTCATTCAAGCACACATCCTCTCATCACTGTGCTCTATAATCTATTCAGTCTCGTATCCAACTCTTATTTCACTCTTTTTGATCTTTCATCTGGTTTGTTTCTTGTCTTCTGTTTCTTTTTATTCCTCTCTGCAGCCAGAAGGAACATCTGGAGAAAAGTGTGTGCTGATGACACATCACAACAATAATTGCAGGTTTAAGACACAGCTGCAGAAACACACACACCATCAAAACTACATACATAGACAACAAACGCACCCTCTCCATCTTGTTCTCTTGAACGTCCAGCCACATCCTCCCAAAAGCACACACACATGCACATGTCCAATGCAAACACACAGACAACCACTATTTGCCCAAGGACGTGTGTTGAGCTCCAAGCACACTTTAAATTTATGGCACAACATTAACAGCATATCCACTTCCCACAGTTCAGAGGAAGAGAAGCATGTGCATTTTAGTGTCTCCACTCGAGTGTAGGAAATGTGCAAACCAGACGCATGCGTTCTCCAGTGCCTGATCAGTTAGCAATAACATAATGACATGATCAGGGCCGTGCAGAGACCTCTGTAGGGGCAGGTGCTCAAAGTATAAAATGGGGCATGGAAACAAGGCTTTATAGGGCTGTGCTCAAAATATCAATACAGTAATATTTCAATACAGATGATTCTGCATCGATACAGCAGCAAATGCATTGATGCAGTTTTGAAAAAGAACCAGAACAGAAAAGACAAATTTAAAGTTTAAAATTAAAAAAAATAATTGATGTGCTCTATCTATAACTCTGGGATTAGAAACTGAAGCATCTTAAGTTGTTCCAACCTGATGGCTTTTTCTTCTCTGTTATACAGAATAATAAAGAACAGCTGTTATAGTGAACTGTATAGGACAAAATCAACGTGGCCCATGTTTCGTGCAGTACAGTATAGTTTTATTTAATGGAATATCAGCATCTGTGGCTTTTTTCATGGCAAAAACTGATTTACAAAAATACAAGAGTTACATTTTATACAATGAAAATAAAAAACAAAGCAAACAGAAACAGCAATTAATACTTTACAAGATTTTTAACATTAATGTGATGCCTGTTCTGGTAAATTCTTACTTTAAGTCCTTAAGTGAGTTTGCTGCCTTTGCTGTTGATGTTGTTACTGCTGCTGCTGATACTGCTGGAGTTGATCTGAGACTGTAGACATTAAAATAAACAGAAATATAGGGTATTAGCTGAATAAACCATTTTTATGATTCCAAGATGTAAAGATGTAAAGACCATTCCAAGATGTAAAGATTGCTGACAGTGTTTGGAACTGGCTCACTAGTTCACTGACCTGCTAAAGCTACAGATTCTACCCAGGCTGCTAAAGTATATAATACAATAATAGTATATAATAATAACGTTACTAGGGCAGATGTTCACAGAGGCTTCTGCACACAAAACATAAGATACTAACTGGTATGCCTATGTGATAACTTACCAGAGTTGTGATAATCATTTTTATGTGAAAATATTTTTTTTTAATAAATACTGTAATAATAATAATAGTTTAAAGTAAAAATAATAGTTTTTAGTCAAATAACACCCCTCCACGCCCGTGAAACTTTTCTCCCTCAAACAGCAAGCTAACGTTACTTCTACAGCCTACACACAGCAATACAAACAACATCTCTCTGCATGCTCTCTTCACGTCGTTCTAGTAAAATAATAATAATAAGTAAACAAACATCAAAATCACTTCGCTGAGAATAGAACACCACTTACCAGCAGCCGCAAGACTTGAAGATATCCTCTGGGAATGCGCGATTGCGCGATTGCGCGTAGCCGCGCGAAATTATAAAATGCGCGTGCAGCGTGAGGAATCAGGTGAAAGGTCATCATGTGGGTCATTTTATTTACAGCTAAATTATTATTCATTCATTTTACTACTAGTTAGATGGGGCAGGCATCGACAAAAGTGCCTTTAAATACAAAAAAAGGAGAGGAAATTTTGTCTTGACAAAAGGGCACTTTGGGCACCAAGGGGCAAAAGGGCAGGTGCTCGAGCACCCAACGCCCCCCCCTCTGCACGTGCCTGGACATGATGTTAAGCACCCAGCTCAGTTATTAAAAAAAAAAAAAAACACATTTCAAGACCTTAAACAATTCATGGATTATTCAAAATTGTTACACAGCTCAATGGAACATGATGATTGACCAGTTTGGTGGCCAAATGCTTTTGTATAATGTTCGCTAAACTGCATAATTGACCACTTTAAAAAGCAAATGACTGTATTAATGATTTTATGATATTTAGAAATTGTAACACTATTTTGATAGACCACATTAGACATTCTACTACAAGTAACTTTGCAACATGTCAACTACCAGTCATTAGAGTATTAGTAGACTGTCTGCTTAATATCTGCTAACCTTTTATTTGGATGAATAAAGGGTCATTCTGCTGACTAGAAGTAACTCTGCAAGTATGCCAACTTATTCTACCCTAACTTCTACTCCTACTTTAATGAAAGTTAGTTGATATGTAGTTCCAATTAATGAGAGTTAGTTGACAGTTGCAAAGCTACTTAAAGTTAGTAGAATGTCTAACATTTGAAATAGAGTAACCTTAGAAATTACCATTGTCTTTCTTCTTAGATAAAATGATTTTAATTCACATTCTATTTCATGTCCATTAAACTTTTCTCTTTTTTTGCAAGTATCTGTGTAATAAATGGGAATATGTATCATGCTTGAAGTAGTTTTCGATAACTGGCTGACTTTACCTCTTACAGTACGTACACTACCATTTTTTTTTCAAATAAATGAATGTTTTTATTCAGAAAGGTCACATTTATTTCAACGAAAGAGACAGTAAAGACATTTATAATGCTATACCATATTTATATTTTACAGAATTGCTGTTCTTCTAATCTTTCTATTCACCAAAAAAATCCTAAAAAAATATATCAGCATATTAGAATGATTTCTGTATGATCATTTAACACTGATGTAGTAAATTCAGCTTGCAGCCTTAGTGAGCATAAGAGATTTATTTTAAAAAAAATATTTTACACAGTGTATGAATTACAGGGGTGTTTTAAGGAACACAGACCCCCTAGTCCCAGTCAGAACACTCTAAAAATCAGGCTGACAGTTCCTTCCATCACTGATATATTCAGTAATGCATTGCATATAAAAATAAAACTAAAAGTTATGTGGCTTTTCACAATTTAATTAAATAAAAACTGTGATAAATAAACATTATAGAACTACATGTAAAGTTTAAAATAAGGCTCATTAAGTTTAAAATATAGGCTAGCAAACTGTTTACAACAGCTAAAATACAATGAAGCCTGCTGGATAACATATTTCACTGTAGAACAATAAGCTGAGGTCATACAAGCTACTTTCTTCCTAATATTGGACCCCCCAGGAGTCTGGTGTAATTCAAACACTGTATACAGTGCTTATTTGATCAGAAAGATTGCAGTGTAAATCTCCGTATTTGATGATTTTCCCAGAGACTACAATAGTCATCACTGCCATAACGCAGTCAAAGTATTTTGACGCGACGCTTACTCTGAATTCAGATATTCCATAAACAGAGACACGTAAGAAAACATTGTGGATTGAGTAAACACACAATCACAGAGTAGTGACTGGTCAAAACATAGGGGAGGTGGCCACACACAGAGGGGTGAGACATTTAAACATTCGGCGGTGGTCTCGTGAGGTGAAACAAAGGGAAATACAGCGGTGAGACAGACTCATAGAACAGCGAAATGTAAGGAGGACAGACAGGCCGCATGATGTTTGTAATAGACAGGATGAGAATGAATAACCTTTTGAGGGACAGACTCTGAGTCAGCTGAGCTGCCTTCCTGTAGAGAGATCAGAAAACATGCGAGGGGGTTGAGGATGATGTCACATCCTGCACATATACACACCTATTGCACAAAAGTGCATCATACACATTACTTTCAATGCGTGTTCGTGTTGTACTGCAAAACCTGTTTTTATGAACTTACCTGCTCACACACCTCCAAAATGCCTCACCGAAACACTCTCCTTGCCAAAATGACATCACGTATCCAATGCATATGTACAAGCACATGCAGGAGCTTGAAGCAATTACCTGAATTGAGGCGCATTTACAAGCACGCAGGCAAACCACAATGCTCTAAACGACATACAACCGCCAAGTGCTACACTGGAAAAAGTATGCGTACGAATTTGTAATGGATGCATTTTGTTTATAACCCATGTTTAAAAAGCCAGCCAATTAAGAACAACTGTTTTGTTTGCTCTGACACAGTGGGGACATTGTTTAGGTGGGTTTGTGTGTTGTGCTCATGAGTATATGTGAATCTGTGTGCATGTATACCTGTGTAACTGGCTCCTCCTCCACCTGTTGTGTGTTAAACACTGTGGCGGCATTGTCAGCACCCAGCAGCCTGCGAGCCATCTTCTCCTCATAGGTTAGCCTCTGAAAGCAAGCAGGATTAATCTGTCAGAGCCTGGGTTATTGTGTGAGAAAACACACACATCCAAGCAAAAGCATTATGATTATTTGGTCGCCTGTACTAGTGAATTCAAGGCTATTAGTCGTGCTGAACACGTGGTGGGTTTTGCTATGTGTGGTGGGGTTGATTGATTTTGGAGATTATATATTAAGTGACATTTTCAGTAGGAGGAACTGGTGGTGGAAGGTAATTTTCTCCATTTATTAGGTGTATTTTGTAAGAATGAAAGGTCAGTTAACATGTATATTAAACAAACACAAAAGATATTCCAATTATAGTCAACTGAATAGTTTTGTCATGCTGTATAGTTCAGACACTTGCAGGAAGAAAGTCCTAAGAAAGTTTATTTTAACATAGTAATACGATTAAAGCTGAAATAAAATAGTAAATGAAAAACAAACATACTAAATTAAGTTGAAGTAATGAAGTTGTAGTCAAATTTCTAAAATGGAACTAACTAATGAAAGCTAAATAGAAATATACGAAAATGAAAACTGAAAATATTAATAAGTACTATAATAGTCCATAAATACTATGATAGTACAGTTTACAAATAATACTATTGCCAATATAGTTTAATTGTCTGGAAAAGAAAAGCGTTAAATTAAATTACTTTTTTCTATGCCCCACAGAAGAAGGTCATATGAGTTGTATGAGTCATATGAGAACATGAGGGTGTGCCAATTATGACATTGGTCATTTTCTTTTTTAAGGGAGTTAGTTCTCCCAAAAAATGCAAAATACACTCAAACATGACTGCTTATGTTATTGGTTATAATGGTGGTAATGGTAGTAAGGCTAGTATGGTAGTACTATTAAAGATCTACTGTAATTCTTTAGTGATCCAAACATAAGACGTTTGAAATGCATACAGTACCTGTTGTCCATTGCTGAGTCTCTCCTCTTTGAAACGTAGTTTTCTCTCTAGATCTTGTATGACAGCGTCTTTGGAGCCCTGGATATCCGTATCGGAGTAGATGCGAGGTGTACGGGGTGTAGTCTTACGTGGCAAGGCTCTGTTAAAACACAATCAGAAAATATTGAAAAAAGCAACAGATTAAGCAAGAAACTTTGGTTATAGTGTTATATACCACAAAACCTTTCCAGACAGCAGCTGGGATTAAAGCACACTCCAAAAACAAACAAACAGCTGCTTTTATAATACATTACATCATAAAAGTTTTTTGGTTTTTTTTGCATATTTACTGGGAAGCAAGAATAATTTCCGTTATCTGTTTGTGAGTATGCGTTTTAAAATTCCACAGCGGTCTCTTATCTTTTCCCCGCTGGCTCTGGAATGCCAGGAAGAGAGAGAGAGGAATGAACAAGTGGGAGATAACAGAGAAAATAGAGATGGAGAGGTTGAGGACAGGAGCAGCAGCTTTTAAGAAAAACCCTCTCACACACACCCTGGATGAGTGGAATAAACTCAAGTGTCATCAGACCATCTTAACTGAAGGTCAGAATCAAACTGTACATCACCAGTAACAATAAAGCTTTGAAAACACTCAAAGATTTGGTACTTGATCAGCTTAATAATTTTTGCCATAAAATATGCCAGGTGGATTTTAAAAAATAAATAAATAAAACATGTACATTTTTCAAAAGTACTTGTAAAGTACAGTGTATTTCAATATTAAGTATATACTATTAATCATTTGAATTTGAGTTTAATTTATTTTAGTTTATGTTTTAGTAATTTGGGTTACTTGTTAACTTAAGTTTATTTTGTAAAAAAAAAAAATCTATTTCGCTTTAATTTTTAAGATATTTTAATTTTCAGTTTAGGTTTTTTATTTTCATTTTATTTTCATTTTTAGTACATAAACTTTGTTAAGTTTTCATTTAACAAATATTTTATTTTAGTTTTGGTTCAGTTAACGAAAATTACTTTTAATAGTTTCAGTTAAAACAAAACAACAATAACATAATTGGTCCCTCAAGCTCCAAAATGACAAAATTACCATAAAAGTAGTTTTGGATTGTAGACAAAGTAGACGTAAGCCATTCAATAGCTTTGAGGTAATTTAAAGTCATAATCTCAAAATCTTTTCCACCATAGCAATCAAATCTCATTCATCCAGTGTGTTGTGATCCATCACACCTACGAATCAACAATTGATTTTTTTGATGAGCTCAATGGTCAGTGGTCACCTTCTACTTTTAGAAAGATAAAAAAGCAGCCTAGGCATTTTGTAAAAATTCCCCCTTTTGTGTTGCACAAAAGAAAGGACATACAGGTTTGAAACCACATGAGGGTGAGCAATTGAATTTGTTATCCCTTTAAAATGCCTCATACTCAATTATGAACCAGTTTGCTTTATTTTTCTGTAGGATTGAGAATGAGAGAGGAAACCTCTGTAATACACAGGCCTGACCCTCAGCTCCCATTGATCCTCGTTTCTCCATAAACATGCCACGGAAGAATGCATACAGTACATGTTTTCCATGCAGCTGCAAAGCAGGAGCTGCACTCCAAATTACTTATTAGCCCAAGTGTTCACACTATGTGCCCTTTATAGTGCTCTACTGGAGCTCTTGAGCAAGCGCTCAACTTTTATATAGTATAGAGAAAGACTGCACACCTTTCGCTTTCAAACTTTAAGAGATGATTGTGGGTACTCACACTGTGCCGTTACCCTTGGGCAGCCCAAGCGCGTTCATTGGTGGTGGAGGAGGTGTGGCTGGGAGCACCGATACTAGAAATCCGGCTGGTGATTGGGGAGTAGACGTGAAGGGCGAAGAGCTGTCTGAGCGGGTGGGGCTTGACATGACAGGTGGCGGAGGCGGCGGAGGGGGGAAGTCTTGTGGCAAGCCAGAAGGAGAGGACAGAGTGCTGGAGCTGAGGAAGGGCGGAGGGGGTGGAGGGAAGGAAGGTGAGCTGGGAGAATCCAAGCTACTTCCTTTGGACAGCAGCGGCTGCTGCTGGAAGGGCGGAAGAGTGACACGGCTGAAGGGCTTGTGGGCTGTTATGGGGGACAGTGGACTGGAGCTTGAGGAGGTCGAGGACTGCGTGCTGTATTCAATTGGTCCACCGCTTGTTGTGGGACTCTGGGCAGCGATGAACTGCTTGGGTCGGGCATAGTTGAAGGTGCTTGTCTGCATGGTGCTACTCTCCAGCTCCTGGAACGAGGGAGGAGGTGGGAGAGGTGGAGAAGGAGGCGGGACTTCCTGAGGAGTGGGAAGCGGTTGTTGCTGCTCCAAAAGGATCTGATCTTGAAGCTGCTTCAGTTGTGCCGCGTTTCTGCAAGGAGAAAATTACAAACAAAAGGACTGTTTAGCATCACACTGATTATACAAATTTTACTACAAGAATCTGTCAGGTAATGGGACTGTCTAACTGTCCAATTGCAAAACCTGACAAACATAACGTGAACTGACCTCAACACATCTTAAGATAAGGTTTCGAGAGCATGTTTGCTGGGACTAAACTCTGTACACAACTGATATGTAGCTCTGGTCCTGGATTACTAAAACAGCATTCCTGTCAAAAATCCATGACATACTGTAGAAAAACAGACATAAAACACCGGGTTGCCATATAAATGGATCTGCTTAATTAAGTTTTTGATTGAAAAATGGGTCCTTGATTTATTTATTTTTTGTTCCATTATGCATTAACTTTTTTATAAAAGCAAAATGGTTGGTGGTTTAGTCATCAGCTGGTTGAAGATCTGGTTTGTTGCTGGTCCAAGATGTTCTACCAGGTTGAACCTAAATGACCAATTTGGACCAGCAAGAAACATGTTTAAAAACTGTTAATAGCTTAACTTGGTTCTGCAAAGATTATTCTGATGATGTTGCGCTTTGTATATATCCTCCTTTAATGATTCATTAGAGATGTAAAGCCACACACAGAGTTCAGCGATTTCATGAAAGGCCATTTCAGGGACAGTTTATTACCCTCACAGAATAGATGGCCCATCGGGAGGAAATGAACTCCAGAGCCTGCAGAAAGTGGTGTAGTGTGCGTTACTGTAAAGTAAGAAGGTTTATGACTAGTTTTTGTGTGGTTATGCATGTGTCTGTGTGTATTTGTGCTGAGTTTCTGGGAAGGAAACTAAAGCCCACTGAAAAGAGAGTGATATGCTATCTTGAGTAAAGTATACTGTCAACAGCATAAAAAGGAATTGCCTTTTCAGGGTTGTGTCGTGCTAATATGGGTATGGGCTGATGACTGAGCATAATATCTGTCAAATGTCACGGTTCACCCACATACACAAAAACACTGGAGTGACGTCCACATTGTCTCTTTCTCCGATTAACATCAGATATTTGCTGTCTACAGCCTACAGTTTTCCATCATCTGAATTCTTGCGTCCTTGGAAGGCACATTTTGTTCAAAACAATTTGTCTCTCTTCTTTTGCGGACTCAGCCCCACTCTCCCGCTGCCTTTTTTGGCAACTCCAAGACACCTTTTGCGAGCCTCAACAAATGGATAACCTTAAACCAATAACCAAGTCCAGATGCTCTTCATTGAAATTTTAATATTGGTCTCCTACAGGTTTATTCAGAGCAGCATTCAATGCTTTTCAGCTAGTCACCCAGTAAAGAATTGCAAAACGTGAATTAAATGTGTGATTTCAGAGTTTGTGTGCATATCTCTGGGTGGTAGGCTAGCCACACTCCAAACCCCTTTTAAACAAATTATTTCCAGATGTTGACTAATGAGTCATTGTGTTTTCCCTCTTTTCATTCATTTTTTGTAATGGTGAAAGCCCTCCCTCCATCCAACTGATAATTCCTCAGAGTTTGGGTGAAGAAAAAGAGAAGGGGAGTATTCACAATGTGTTGTTAATACTTCACCAAGCCTTACCTTAAACCTACAGTGCAAGTTCGTCAAATAAAAGGATTCATTGAGGAAAATAATACATTAAATGATGTAACTTTGTTTTGGCAGCACAAATGGTGATTTGGGCCACATCAAAAGCAAAAATGACCACCTAAAACATCCTTTTTCCCATTTTTCCTCATTTTCCCATTCTGTATGCTCGAGAATCCGTCAAAAGAGCACTTTTACTGGAATACTTTGGCAGCTTGTGAAAGACTCTTGGACTCAACTGCCTGTGCTGCTTTGCTTTCATTCCTTTTTTGGCTCTGTTATGAGTCCGAAGCACCAGCGGCTAGACTCTCACTTCTCTTCTTTCTGTCTTTGGGTCATGCTTTCCCTCCCTTCTTTTCTTTTTCAATCCCTTCACACTTTCCCAAATTCCATCACCATGTCTCCCTCCTTATTCACTCACTTTTAACATCAAAAAGGACAAGAAAGTTTTCAAATCCAACCTCATCTTATTCTCCATCCTTCTGCATTTCTTCTCTCATCTACCTCCTCCCCTGAGTGAAAACTGCTGGTTAACAGCGGGTGGAGGTCTGGCATTACAAGCCCCTCCAGAAATACTGCTCCGACTCGAAATATCCCACTTAATAGTTTCCAGCAGTCAAGGAATATCATTTTCAATCACAGGCAGCCATTTTCTAAAAATAGCTCTTGCAGGTTCCTCCGCTTATTTTTTCCTTTAACATTTCTGGAATTCCTCACAAGTAAACCGATTTGATGGAGGGAGTTCAGCCGGTACTGACATAATCAGTTCGCCTTAAAAGGCACCGAGTCTGCAAATAGAAAATGCTACGGGACACTCCTGCTTAAAATCATGTTCATTCATTGCGAAAAACAATCTGAAGGAATGAGTCCAAAATAAGCATTAAACTAAGTTTCTAAATGTAGCGACACTAAAACGTAGTTTTTGAATTTGTTATTTTTCCAATAACATGCTGGTTTCCCCCCTCAACTTCTACATCACAAACATAGTTTTTGGTTCTTTGTTTTGCATCTTCAGATCTTAACTACACTCTAAAAAATGTTGGGTTGTTTTAACCCAATTTTGGGTCAAATACAGACAAACCCAGCCATTGGGTTTCATTTTAAATTACATTTTTAACCCAATGTTTGAGTTTGTCCATATTAGACCCAAAATTGGGTTAAAACAACACAGCATTTTTTAGAGTGTAATTCAAGCAAATCAACTGACTATGTTCTCCTAGACTTTAGAGCTATAAAGTCCAAATCATTCTATGGAGTTTTTAGCCATTTTTCCACCACTGGGCCAAACTGTTCTCATTTCTCATTCGTTCCAGTCTGTACCAATCCAGCAAAGCCGGTATGGATATGGTTTCATTGTCCACTGTGGGGCTGATAACAGAGCTCTTTTGAATGTATTACAAATGTTTCAGTCGTTGCCTTGGTAACAAGAGTTTACAGAAATTTTGCGATGTAAATAGCGACTGCGTTATGGTGGATGATTATATATTCCTGAGTTTACTTCACTCAAATAGCGTGTTTGGCCAGCTACAAAGAAACTGGTAACCTGGCAACAGACAAGTGACCAATCCTGAGTGTCGATTACGTCACTACACGCATTCTACGGTGGAAAAGCGTCTTTTATATGTAAATAAATCGATTCATAAATGATTCAGTCCTTTTGTGACAGTTTTAAACCTTCTATAGCAAATTATTGACTTAAATACTGCTCATGTTGTCAACCTAGTTAACTACACTACTAGTGAAATGTTGCCAACTACTTTTAAAAGGTAGTTTGACTTGAAATGCTACTGTACAAAGTAGGTTCTCCAACATTATAAATAAATCATGGCAGATCTAGACCAGCTATGTTTGCTTCTTCTTTTTTTTTTTTAGCAATGAAAGGCAAAAAACGGGATCAGTTGCAATACAAACTCCCATCGCACACAAGGCCACGGCTCCAACCACATTTGTGTTTTTTGAATCTACAGCTGTGCTGGACTCAGGGTCAGTTCTGTCATAGTTTGGGTGATTTAGCGAGGCTAACGGAAGAGAGGTGCATATGGCGATGTGCGTCCATATTTTAAAAGCATGCAGCACAGCTTAAATAATAACAGCCTTCTGTCAAAGGTTACATGAAGTAACCCAATCAATTTTCTGCCAAATTCCAAGGTTTGTTACAAGTGGAGATGAAGCAGACCCCTCAGCTGACACAAAACACTCGCTCATATTCCTGCACTTACACACATTCCTGTCTAATTCAGCTACATGTCTATAAAAGTTACTTACACAAATCCAGCTCCTACTGTTTTATGGGAACTCCAGAGAAGTGCTTCACTTTGCAATAAAAGTCACAATAAATTGTAAAAAAATTAAATAAAAACTAAAATAAGTAAATAAATATGCAGCATATGGCTTTAAATTATATACTAAGAAATGTGAGTTAATTGGAATGTGTATAACAACAGATCAACAAAACTCCTTAAATGTTCCAAATAATCTACGAGTTGTTCGTAAGTAAATTGTTCAGCTATATGCTGACTTTGTTGTTTTGTAATCAATATATTAGTTACTTATTTGTGGCATATTAGTGTCAAAAGCTCATAGTTTACTAAATGATGTTTGTTCATGATTGAGGTCTATCTTAGCCTATCAAGCCTTTGTTCTTATATGCAGAATCCACTTAATAAAAGTTTCAAATGTCAAACAAACGCACACTTATTTTTCTTTGAAGCCCGTTGAATTAATCTGAATCATATCAAGACAGAAGTTAGGGTTTCTTACTCTCCTCCACACCATAATGTAGAATCCAGAGCCGATGATGTTGTTCACACTACATAACACAATTTGTCGAACCAACCATCACATGAAGGTCAGACATACGCTCATTAGCTTTGAAGTGATTTTTTTGTCAGTGGCATTTGTGCCCCTATAAAACGGTAAATGTGCCCTTCATGAAATAATGGCAAGATTCGGGTCAGTGCGGATCGTGGTTTAATTAGTCCACAAATCAGCTTCTGTCCAGACTTTTGACGTCACCATCAGACACGGGCCAGTGTTAGTTCGCCGTACTAAACAATGAGGTCAGTGTATTCTCCCTCTTTTTAATTGAATCTTTTTCTCAGTCCAACTGCAGTATCTTTCGAATTTTTCAAGTCTACTCCTCTAAACATGACTGATACAAGCTGAAAATACATCCTGTAAACAGATTTTCCAGTGTTAACCTTAACCAAAAGGCTGTTGAATATATTCTGAAGACTAATACAAGAGCGATTTTATGCTAATAATGCGTGTCATCTCCTGCAGTCAGTTTAAGCATCTTTGATTCGTCTCTGTGCAGGAGTGGAGTTTCAGCTGTTTTTAACCAGCTGCTATCACAGGAAGAAGCTTCAAGAGGACAGGAAGTTGTTTAGTTAAAATATTTGCCAATTAGAAGACAGTGTTT